TGCAGAGGCCAGTGTTCAGCTCAGCTGTGGCCTGGGCCCACCACTCCCTCGTGGAGCTGACGGTCCTAGGGGGATGTAAAGGCGGTGCATGTGTGAGATGTCCCCAAGCAGGCCTCTGTGACCTGGGGGCTTGACCAAGGGCTTCCCAGAGGAGGCAGCAGCATCTTCTTTGGGATTTAAAGGCTCCATACACATTCTGCAAGCAGGAAGGGGGAGGCCTTAGGATCTGAGGTAGCAAAGGTTTGGCGGTGGGACCTGCAGGGCATGTTCCAGAGTTTGTGGAGGGAGAGGAAGAAAAGAAGGATTTATTAGACGCTTATTGTGTATCAGGTCCAGAAACCCTTCGAAGCCAAAAGAAGGAAGGTCTTTCCCCGGGGGCCTCCATTCTCGTGGGGGAGATGGCGGAGGAGAGCCAGCCTCCAGACGGGCTGACGGGCTTGGGAGGCAGGAAGGCAGGAGCGGGGCCGGGGGAGGAGCCCGGTCACCGCCGTGCTCAGGCGGCTGCGGGGGCTCCCGGGGGCTCCTCTTCCCTCGGCCTTCAAAGTGGGGTCAGACCTGGCTCGCGGTGAAGCCCGTCCTGGCCTCCACCTTGGCGGCAGCCCTCCCCCAGGAGGCCTTGAACGCTCGCCCGACTCTGGCTCGGCCCCGGCAGCGTGTTGGCACGTGCCCGCCTATTGCGCCCCTCCGACAGCATCGATCCTGAGCCCCGTGCCAGCTGGGCCTGAGAACGTGAAACGCGCCGTGCCCTCCAGAGGATTCTGCCCTAATGTACAGAGCTAGGCCTGGGCAGAGTCTAGAGAGAAGGGTGGGCTTGGGCTGTGGCCCCCTCACCTGCTCAGGGGCTTTCTGGCCCATGCCACTTCTTTTAGAGGCAGAAAGTGAGGCCCGGGGAGGGGAAGGGCTTCGCCTGATGTTGGGGAGGGAGGGGGACAGTCGTCCAGACAAGGTCCGCCTAGAGAAGGTGGTGCCCGAGCCGACTCTTCCACGAAGGGAGGGCTTTGATGAGGTGGAGGGGAGGAGAGAGGCACTCCCGGCGTGGGCAATGGCCCAGACAAAGGCTCGGAGGTGGGAGACAAGTGCTCTGTGAGACATCATCCCATCCACGAGCCGGCACTGATTCTGAGCAGTGAGCCTGGGGTGCCAGGCCAGGCCCCGGGAAGCTGGCGGGGGACCAGAGTGGGGCCAGCAGGGACTAACCGCAGCGCACGCTGCCTCTGCCCCACAGCCCATGAAGCCGCTCAAGGCCGCAGCCACCACGTCTCAGCCGGTGCTGACGGGGCAGCAGATTGAAACCATTTTCTTCAAGGTCCCCGAGCTCTACGACATCCACAAGGAATTCTACGACGGGTTGGGGCCCCGCGTGGAGTGCTGGAGCCAGCAGCAGCGGGTTGGCGACCTCTTCCAGAAGCTGGTAAGGGCACCCGCCTGCCCGCGAGGCCTCTCCCCCGTTAGTAGCCGGGATCCCGGCAGACACAGCTGGAGGGTCGGGGGGCTTCCCAAGGCACTGGAGGAACAGTGGAGATTACGCCCGGTCCCAGCCGACATTGCTGGGTCAGCGTGGTTCCGGGAGCTCAGGCCTGCAGCCCTATTTACAGCAGGGTAAGCTGAGGCTCAGGGAGCTGCCCTGCCTCGCTGCCCACAGAGCCCCGATCCCGTGTTCCCTCCCCGCCGCTCCCAGAGGGAAGGCGCCCCAGTGGCATCCGGGGGCCCGGCAGGCAGCTTCCTCCGCGCCTCTCCTGGCCAGCTGTGGGTGGGGACAGGGACAGGCCAGTCCTTGTGGACGGCGGCAGATGCCAGTCCGTGGGCAGGGCCAGGGCGGCCTGCACCATGCCGGGTTGTTTGTCCCTGGACCCCAGGCCCAGGCAAGAGAGCGTGCTTGTGGGCAGAGGTGGGGGTGGGGCAGGGGCAAAAGCTGGTGTGATTTGGGTTCTTTCTCTTTGCCTGAGCTCTCTCCAAAGAGCCGACCAGGCACCGCGGAAAAACTGCTGTGGTTGGCTAGCTCTGGGGCTCCTCTCCACTGCAGGGGGCGTGGGGAAAGATGGGGTAAACTGAAGCAGTCACCTCAGGGCCTCTTGGCCATCCTCAAAGCATGGGCTGCTCATGGGGAGGCCTCACGCCCCCGGAGGGTCGGTGACGCCAGAAGCTGCCCGGGCACCGAGCCCGTCGGCCCCTACCTCCCCTGCCCTTGCTTGAGTCTTTTCCTTGGTTGCTGTGGTCCGCCGGGCATCCTGCTCTCTTGCCACCCCAGGTCTCTGACGGGCAGCCACCCCACCCCTCTCCAGCAAGGTGGCTTCCCCTGGACTTTTGGTGGTCCGTGGTCCCTGGCAGAGACCCCGTGACCCTCCCCGCACGCACCTGCCTTTCCTTTGTGGCTGCTCAGGGAGGGTCCTGCAGGGAAAGGGGGCAGGTCAGCCCCTGCCCCAGCTCCGCGCCTCCCCTGCCGTGAAAAGGCCTGATCGGTCCAGGGGAGCACCTGCCCACGGGACCGGCGGCTGTCTGTGCCCGTCATCTGGGTGCAGGACGTGGCAGGGGTCCAGCTGGCCCTCGGGCCGTGAGATGAAGCCCCCCTGCCGGCTGAACCCTGGCCTCACCTGTCCTCTCTTCCACAGGCCAGCCAGCTCGGGGTGTACCGCGCCTTCGTGGACAACTATGAGGCCGCCATAGAGATGGCGGACAAGTGCTGCCAGGCCAACGCCCAGTTTGCCGAAATCTCTGAGGTAGCGCTCTCCCGCTGAGGTGTGAACCCGTGTGCCTCTGGCTCTGGTCAGCCCATCACCCCGGTCCCTGACCCGCGGGCCCCCTCCATCCTCTTCCCGGGCCCCCAGACCTGCTCTGACCATCCCCCCAGAACTTCAGTGACCCCTTACCTTGGCCCTCTGCCCTCTGCCTCCTCACTGGCCTCCAGAGCCCCTGGGTATTTGTCAGCCATTCCTCGCTCTCCCCCAACCCCTCTGCTGTCTGGCCTCCTCAGCCCTGGCTTATATGTGTGAGGAAGGGGGACCTTGAGCGGGTCTAGAAGCGAGCCAGGATTCCAAGGAGGAGGTGCACAAAGACAGTGAGGGCAAAGACCCTGGGGTGGGAGATGGAGGTGATCCAGGAGGACCTTACCTCCTCGCTTCAGCAGCCCAGTGTGGGCCGCACGGAGTGTGCTGAGGCTTCGGCCCCCCAGGGCCTGGCCCCCCCACCGTCCCTGGGGCCGGCCCCCCCCCAACGTCCCTGGGTCTGGCCCCCCCCACCGACCCTGGGTCTGGCCCCCCTCACCGTCCCTGCAGCTGGCCCCCCCACCGTCCCTGGGGCTAGCCCCGCCAACCCCACTGTCCCTGGGGCTGGCCCCGCTCCCGGGACTCCCCAAGCTCCAGGGCTGGCATTGGCCTGGCCCGGCTCCACCTCGGTCATTTCTTTTTCAGAATCTACGAGCCAGAAGCATGAAGGATTCCAAAGATCAGACAACTAAAAACTCTTTGGAAAGTGAGCATCAGCCGCCCGCCAGAGGGTCCCTGGGGGGGAGGGGCTGGGGCAAGACTTCTTTCTCTTGGGAGGGGGCATTACTTTGTTGGAAAGAGGAAACCTAGGCAGTGAGAATAGAGCTGCTTAGCCTGAGGCCCCCGGCGACTCAGCAGTGAGAGCAGGTGCTGTCCTGTGAGCCGGCCGGGCTGTGCAGGGCCCTCATCCCCCCAGCCAGGGCGTCCTCTGAGCCTTCATTTCTCAGGTCAGAAGCGAGCCGCTGCCCAGTCACGTATGACCCCCCCTGAGCAGGCAGGCCCAGTCATCTTTTCCTGCTCAGTCCCTGGGGGTCCTCACGGCCAGGGCACGAGGGGGAGGCCAAACTGACCATCCTTACACCATCCCCTCTGTCCTCAGCTCTGCTCTACAAGCCCGTGGACCGAGTGACCCGCAGTACCCTGGTCCTCCATGTAAGTCCACAGAGAAAGCAGGTGGAGGTGGAGGGTGTGTGTGTGTGTGTGTGTGTGTGTGTGTATTATGCATTATGAGGCTGGGTCTTGGGTACGAGTGTGGGCATTGCTAGGCAGTGGGTATGCACAGTGGAGGGCAGTGTGCCTTCTCTGTCACACCAGTCCCTCCACCTTCTGTGACAGCCACTCCTAGGACATCTTTAAGGAAAGATTACACGTCCCCCCTTCCCCCCCTCATGAAGGTCGGCGGCTTCCAGAGTTGCCGCACCTCATCTTCCTTTTCTCTTCCCTGCCCGCTTGTGTTGCAGTGGTGGGCTTGCCGCTCGCTGCTCTGCTGACCGCTTACTGCGGCCCCTCCCCTCCCTGAGCTTCGCGGTCCCCTTCTGCCGTGGACTCAGCAACCTCTGAGCCCGGGGCAGAACTGGAGCTCCTGGAGTGGTTACCCACTGGTGGGGGCTCGCAGAGTCTGAGCCAGCTTCCCGGGCCATAGCGTGCAGCCTGACAGACAGAGCGAGCTCTTCCACATCCCCGGCAGGAGTCCCCTTCCACCTGCCCCCGCCAGGAAACCCTCCAGTCCATCCATAAGCATGTATTAAATGACTGCTGGATGCCCTGCTATCACTAGGGATCGAGGAGGTGCAGACTGGTGGATGGAGAATGTGCAGGGGAGACAGGCCTGGCCTCTGCGCAGGAGGCCCTGCTGCCCCCCACCCCCTCTCATTGCCGTGTTCTCTCCCTGGGCGCAGGACTTGCTGAAGCACACCCCTCCCAGCCACCCCGACCACCCCCTGCTGCAGGATGCCCTGAGGATCTCCCAGAACTTCCTGTCCAGCATCAACGAGGAGATCACGCCCCGGAGGCAGTCCATGACGGTCAAAAAGGGCGAGGTGAGCGTGTCTTTGCACACATGCGTGAGCAAGCAAACAAGTGAGGAAGTGAGTGAGTGAGTGAAGGAGTATGCAGGTGAGCAAGCATGCAGGTGAGGGAGTGAGGAAGTGTGCGGGTGAGGAAG